CACACACACACACACACACACACACACACACACACACACACACACACAAACACACACACTCTCACACGCTCTCTCTCACACATACACACACTCACACACTCTCACACTCTCACACACACACACCCACACACACACACACACACACACACACACACACACTCGTTCTTCCCCTGACGTCCTGAAGTCTCGTTCGGCTGAATTCTGGATGAAGTGAGGTGTATTTTTAGCTCGGCATCATTCAGTGACATACATGGGCGGCAGGGAAACCAATAACACAATTTGGGCAACACGCCAGTGGAAAGAACATTAGTGTGTGTGTGTGTGTGTGTGTGTGTGTGAGTGAATGATGAGAAAGAAAACCGATGAAAAGAAGGACAAGAGAAATGTTCTATAACAGGAACTGAACCATGAGACCCTCGTCTGACCCCCCGATCCATAAACAACAGCAGAGCATGAGACTGAAGATCCAGACTAAAAATAACCATCAGCCATTAAACTCTGAACAAAAACCCCAGAGGAAGGTTTTCAGCCCTTCATTCTAAAAAGAGACTAAATGTTTCCACAGCATCTCCTGAGACGGTTCAAGACAGGAAACTCCAGAGGAGCTCAGATGAGTTTATGACACGGTTCAAATCCTCATGAACGCTAATGGCAGACCTTCTCATCTCTAAACGCTCAGGTGAAGCATTACAGAGTCAGAACTCATTTGCACTTGGAGCATCCAAATATCTAGCAGACAGGAGGCTGCGATGAACAGATGCGGTTTTATTCTTCACATGACTTCACATGGCTATATGACTTCTGCAATGTGGAGAACACGGACTGAATCCATCATAAAAAATTAATGTTTACTGCGTAACACGGAATGAATTTGGCAAATGTTGGATGAATAAATCAAAAGTAGGGCTGTACACTTAATCAGATGGTGATACGGACTAGTGCGTGTGAAGTCGGTTAAAATAATAATAATAATACATATACAGTTTTTTAAAACCTTACTGAATATGATACAATTTTGTAAACCTCTATTGTGCAGCCTTTTAAAATAAAAGGAATTGTTACATTTCCATCTGATTACATTTCAAAAGTTTAATTAATTCGTTAAAGCTTTATGCATTCGTTTGATACATTTACATCGCATTCAAGGTTTACACTTTATCAGTTCATGCATGCCCCGGGATTTAAAGCAAGCACCAAACTCTACTGTTACAGGATTACTGTTTTGATAATACATGTGCAATCAATCATAAAACAGAATGCAGAAAAATTAAAATAGACAACACAGGATTTCTGAAAACATATTTCATGGGGCTCTTTCATGCATGCCCCGGGATTTAAAGCAAGCACCAAACTCTACTGTTACAGGAATACTGTTTTGATAATACATGTGCAATCAGTCATAAAACAGAATGCAGAAAAATTTAAATAGACAACACAGGATTTCTGAAAACATATTTCATGGGGCTCTAATATTGTTTTTAAAAATAAATATTTTGGCAAACTATTCAATTGTTGAAGTTTTATGAATTCAACTGATTAGACATCCGTCTTGATTATTAAAATGTAATTAAAAAATAAAAACTGAGAAAGCAGAATTTGGGATAACATCAAATAGAATTTCGTAAAAAATCTAAATGAAATTTGGGGGGAAAAAAAAACAACGGATTTTATTCAATTTAACCTAATTAAGTTTATTTGAGCGTTCAGGAGCAGCTGGAGCTGCAGACCCAAGCAGAAAGGCAGTGAGCAGACGTTACCTGGAAGGTCAGCCGGTCTTTGCTGGGACTGAGCCTCATGTCGTCCATCGGTGTGGCGCTGATCATCACGTCAGTCATCATGGCTCAGCTGCACAGGACACACAACACACACAGTTACTCTCAATGCATGCACATCACCAGCAGAGTCTCTGCTAGAACTGAACGAACAGATCGCACTGCGTTTGAGAAGGATGCATTCTGTCACGCAGTTGTACAATAAAACAAACTCAAACCAGTCTCTTGCAATGAGCATGTTTCTTACCGCACAGGCGTCTGCACGGTAACTGCTTTCTGAGCACAACAACATACAGGAAGCCCTTCATGAAGCGTCCTCAAGCGCAGCTTCACTCTTCACCACACTGGAAACCCCCAAACCATCAGCTCTTCTGCAGCTCAACACGTCTGTTTCTGTCCATGCAAAGCGTGCTGGGATCTCCACTGTCCAACTAATAAAAGTCACTCATTCATTCCCAACGCAAGCGGATGAAGTGAACATCCATCTGACTCATGCAGGTGGACTGAAAGCGAACCGAATCTCTGAGCTCAAATCTGCTCCGACTAAAGGCCGGACAGCAGGTGACATTAAAGGGGTCATATGACGCGATTTCAATTGTTTCTTTCTCTTTGGAGTGTTACAAGCTCTTGGTGCATAAAGAAGATCTGTAAAGTTGCAAAGACTAAAGTCTCAAATCCAAAGAGATATT